TATATATATTGGTGTCTTGTGATATCAGTATGGCATACCGTTTTCTTCAAGGTGGTTGCAACTGTTAGACCACATTCAACCAACAACTTACCAGCTATCATGTTCGAAAACCTGCTTGATCACCCCAGGCTGGTTTGAGCTGCTACTGATATACTACGCAATTGACTCTGGCACTCAACTCTTCTTGTGCAGGTTTAATCAGACTCCAGGAGTTAATTATGGCTCCATCCAGGTATAACATCAGGCTGAAGATCCGACAGCTTCCTCTGGACACCACGGACACCAGACCTCTGCTCAAAGAGATGAAAAGGAGCAGAGAGTTTCGCATTATCTTCGACTGCAGCCACATAATGGCTGCCCAGATCCTCAAACAAGTGAGTTCATACTCTGTGAAAGCGATGCACACTCATATCATAACATCACTATCCAGTGATGTTCTCTCAGAACTCAAGCCTGTTTGAAGTTTTACTTCAGATCTAGAGAAGCTGTATTAGATTTGGATCTGACTTTTTAAATGAAATATGCTATATATTTTGCTGGAGGCAGAATGGAGATGAAGCTACACATACATGTGAACATGTACAGTGGCCCCCAAAAGTGTGGATCTGGATGAACTATATAACTACTTTAAATGTGTCAGTGTTATTGAGAAAAAAAAAAGTATATTAAACTAAGCCATTAAGTCGTTTCTCTAATGAAACCCTGATGAAGGCCTGTGTGCATTGGGTTTTTAATATGTAGCCATCTAATAAAGGCTTTATAAAGTTAAAATCTATGTGAGATTGGTTGCTGACTTATGTGACAAAAAAAGCTGCTCAAAATGAAGACTACGGTAAAAATATTTAGTCACTTTGTGGTTGTTAGAACTGCTGTGGCTCTAGCATAATTTTTTGAAGATGTCATTTGCTTGGAAAGTTGATAGTTGAAGTCTATGGCAGCACATATAATCATATGGTAACATGTTGCGAATACTTCAGTGTGTTTCAGGTTTGACTCAAATGCTTAGTGTATGCTGCCGAAAGCATGATCTTTCATAGTATAATAAGTGTATGATTATATATAATTGATATAATGAAGTTGTTTTTGTGAGATAAAAAGTCAAAATTATGAGATACTACATCATGAGATAAAAAATGGAAACTATGAGATACTAAGTCACAATTATGAAATAAAAAGTCACAATTATGAGATACTAACTCAAAATGAGATGAGTTGAAACTTATAAGGTACTAAGTCATAATTATGACTACAAATTTAAATTATGGCAAGTTAAAAATATGAAATACTAAGTTAAATGTATGGAATACAAAGTCATAATTATGATATAAAAAAGTAAGAATTATGAAATAAGAAGTGAAAAAATGTAAGATAAAAAAGGCATAATTAAGACATACTGTTATTTTTTGTTATAAATTATCATAATGACTTTATCTCATAATTTCAACTTTGTCCACATAATTACGATTCATTGTAACTTTTTGTTTTGTCATAATTTCAACTTATTTATGTTAGAATTATTTAGTGTGTGTCACAATTATGATTTATCAAAGCATTTTATTATGTTGTGCAAATGTACAAAATCAGGCTGCAAACACATACCGATGATGAAATGTATGTCACACGCACTGT